AGGGCATGGTTTCCAGACCCTTCACCATTTTGGTCGCCCTCCTCTGAATACTCTCCAGCATGATAGATTGTCATGACAGATTGCAGAAAAGGCTTGATTTTTCAGAAGATGTGGCTGATTAGTTTCAATTCTTTTCTTTCCCCCCCCCCCCCCCCCATGCTCTGGATGGGAAGAGGAGCACAAGGCTTTTATGTCAGAACAATAAAAATTTTGAACACACTGTACATACCTTTTTCTGAGAGCCACCAAAATGTAGTGGTTCAAATGTTGGACTATGACTCTGGAGACCAGGGTTCAATTCCCAGCTTGGTCATGAAATTCACTAGGAGATCTTGGGCAAGTCACATGGTCTAAGCCTCAGGAGAACACAATGGCAAACCTCCTGGTGCTATGGGCTATATTCTAGAGGAAGGCACTGGCAAACCAACCTCTGTGTATTCCTTGCCTAAGAAAATCCTATGAAATTAATGGGCTCACAATAAGTTGACAGGTGATTTGAAGGCACATATACACTCATAAGACAATTTTGCTTTTGAAATTGTACAGTCACAGCTTCACCCTGATTCTGAGTAACTTGGCTATGACTGAGGCATAGCCAAGTCACCAAAGGTGATACAGTTATGCAATAACCATTAACAAAGAAGTTTCTGAGCACATTTTTCCAGTAAAGATGTTCCACTTTTTATCCCATGATGGGCACAGTAATTTTATTTAGTCTATTTATGTTTAGAAAGTGTACCTCCCTTAAAGGCTCTACTTACCAATGAAAGTGTCACTACATTAGCCAATATTTTGTTTTTCCACATTGCTGGGCTGTCTTTTTCAGACTAGAAGGGAGCGGGAAAGAATTAAAAGATAACAGTAATTCAAAAATATTGTTCTCATTGCTGCTCTTCTCTTAAGATTTAAGCAAGACAATACATTGTTTATTTGCAGACAGAATTACACATGAGAGCCCTGGTGGTGGAGTGGTTAAATGCTGGTACTGCAGCCACAAGGTTCTGAGTTTGATGCCAGGGGCTCCAAGGTTGGCGCAGCCTTCCATCCTTTTGCAGATCAGTAAAATGAGTACCCTGTTTCTTGGGGGCAATTGGCTTACAGACTGTAAACCACTTACAGAGTTCTAAGTTTACTGATCAGTGATATAGAAATGTATGTACTATTGCTATAAGGCTGTGTTGTTGTTTTTACCTTATTGAAATCTCTGAATCCCACCTACAAAGAGGCATCAACTCGTGTACAAAGTGATTAGGGGGAGAGGAGAGTCAGGTAATGCCTGAAGTGTATCTCTCCATGTATCTTTCTTTGGTCTTATGTATTCAAGTCTTTTCTTCCCTTTTTAGTTGTTCAGATAACTTGCCTCTTCTTCAGACTACCAGAAATAATGCAGTTTGAGTCCACTAACTGCCTGGCTCAGTGCTAGGGAATCATGGGAATTGTAGTTTTTTTCTGAGACATTGACCCTTCTCTGCCAGAGAGCTCTGATGCGACAATAAAATGATTCCCTAGCACTGAGCCAGGACAGTTAAAATGGAGTCAAGCTGCATTATTTCTGGCAATCTCTAAAGGCCCTTAATCTCTTCATTTTCTTTGTCTGAAAAGGAAGCAGCCATGGGGCTCCAACTCCAACTGTAGTTTCTTGCTTACCTTCAAGGGGCTCTGATAACTAGATATATGTCAACTTAATTTATCCCATAGCAAATGGATTGACTGAGACACTAAACATATTTTTCCATTTTGCCTTATAAGATCATCCTGAGTAATTACTCTTGTTTCTGTCATAAGCTCATATTGCACTAGATTGTACAAAATACTCATTTTCTTGTTTTGTATTAGGTTGTGACATTTTATTTTTCTTCCTGCAAATAAATTAATATATATTTTTGTACTCACTTTCCCTAAAGTACACACTATTGAAATATGAATTTTAATGTGTAATCTCTACCTGCTAAAATTGGTATAGATTTTTCCAAAGATACAATGTTCTTGGTTGTTATGTGCCTTCAAGTTGTTTCTGATTTATGGTAACCCTAATGTGACGTTATCATGCAGTTTTCTTAACAAGATTTGTTCAGAGCAGGTTTGCCTTTGCTTTCATCTGAAACTGAGGGGGGTTGCAGACTGCCAGAAATAGTGCAAATTCAGTCCACTTTTAGGGTTAGGGTTAGGCTTAGGGAATCATGGGAACTGTATTTTATTGTGGCACCAGAGCTCTCTGACAGAGAAGGCTCAATATCTCAGAAAAAAAACAATTCCCATTATTCCCTAGCACTAACCCTAACCCTAAAAGTGGACTGAATTTGCACTATTTCTGGCAGTCTGCAACCCCCCTGAGAGAGTGTAACTTGCCCAGAGTCACCTAGTGGGTTTCAATGACTTTCAGAGAGTGAAAGAAATCAGTCTGAAAGTGCACTTGTGGTTGTCATCCAAGAGCAAGCAAAAAATTCCTAGAAGGAGAAAAGCAAGCTGCCAAAAATCATTTGGACATCATAGTAGATAGCAGATTGTCATTCAAGTTGCCATTTTCATGTAGAAATTCTAAACTGGAGCTTCCCAGAAGTGTACCAAACCTCATCAGGATTTTTTAAAGAGCTAGAAACAGCTAAGAACTTGAAAATAAGAAAAAGGTCTCTGGGACCCTGCTGCTGAATTCTTGAAATTTACCTCAAAAAAGGGAATAGGCAGGTGAATATTGCTGGTTAGATTCTTGTAGTAAAAAGGGAGGCTGGAAAACCAGGACATCCCATAGACCTCTTTGGTGTATTGGGGACAAATCCAGGCAGTACTAGCTACAATTCAGCTAGAACACAGGAAAGAGCTCTCTGAGGCACTTCTAGTACAGTTACAGCCAATAAAAACTAGACTGTCTCAGAGCTCCCAGAGGGCCTTCTCTGCAACCGCTCCCAGGCTGTGGAATGGCCTACCGGATGAGGTCCATCTTATTACCGTATTTTCCTTCGTATAAGACGACTTTCTAAGCAGGAAA